TTTTAACCCCCCCCGTCCCCTGTCCCCCGTCCCCCTCCTAGAAGTACAGTATGGTTACAAAGAGAGATATTCCTTGTGTGTTTTAGTTTTTTTTGTACTGAAAGCGTTTACCTTGCATGGTTTGTTACTGAGAAAGTGAAGTGGAAAAAAGCCATCGTGTTTTTTCAGTCACGCCAGCTTCAATGTGACCACGTTTGCAATTTAAGGCCTCTGGATCCCGGTGCTCACGTTGTACCAAAGACTCAACGCATCAGATCATGCAAACATACTGTAAACACGCGTTTAACCGTGTAACCACCACCCTCGCGCACATTTAGTGACTTCATGCACAGCTAAACTGTATTTTTTTTTAATCAGCATATGCAAAGAATAACCCTTTTGAGAGTTTAAAATGTAGATATTTGTGACTGTTACATGTGCTAAACTTTGTTAAATGTATACGTTTCTCATTATTTCTGATCCATATTATTGGTGTTGCCCAGATATTTCTCCTAAATTAGTTTGCCTTGTTGGTGTATCTGTGTAAAGGTTTTTGGAGCGGATACTGTAACGTACATTTTGATACCAGACTCGTACCATTTGTCACTGTTAACCATCGATTTTCAAAGCAAAGTAAAGCTTTCGTTGAGCTCCGATTGCTGAAGAATCCTGCCTTCCTTGTGCTTCACGTTTTCCTGGACCACCATCTCCTTCTAATCCATATTTCCCCCAGAATAAAAGGACTCATTAGGGTCATCTGACATTTTACCCCCCTCGTGTCAAACCCGTGCGAGAGCTTTTTGAATGTTATGAATGTACCTTTTTTTTTTTTTTTTTGTTTTGTTATTTTCCACTTCTCTTAACAACGTAGTAACATCCAAGTACATTTTGTCAATGCTGTTTGTGCAATAAATTGAACTAAAACATCCCAGTCATTGGTTTCTCTTTCAGCTAAAAACCACAACACCATTCAGAGAGCAGACATTTCCCACTCTCACACACATTGTTTCCAGTTCAGCTCTTCAACAGTAGCCTTTATTTATGTTGTCAGACAGTGCTGGGAGGGTCAACAGGAGCCTGAGAGCAGGGTTTTTTTTGTTTGCTCTTCCTCTACCTGCGTCACACTGAGCTCAAGGTAATCCAGCACAGAGGAGTTTAACTGAGCCTGTCTTTTGCTTCCTGACAGGAAGGATTTTTTTTTTTTTTTTTCTCTACACCCAGGCTCATTTGGGAGTCATCTTCACCCACACAGCCGCCCACACTGCTTGCCGACGTCACTGCCACCCAACAGCAATAGAGCTCAGCCTTGGTCGATGAAATATACTGCAGCTATCAAGCTCCTCGCACTGTTTAATACCAAGGACTGCATGAATGAATGCGTCCGATATATAGACACGAAGGATTTCACATTATCTGATCAATCACTGTAATTGTTAGTTATATATTATTGATTACAGATCCACGTACTTGCAGCTAATTCCTGTTTTCTTGTTCATGTGTTTTCTTTTTAATCTGACTGCATGCTGCAATTTCTTTCAACGTACTTCAGATAATGTCTCAATGAAATGTGTGTGTGTGTGTGCAGTATTTCATTGAGATATATTCAACGTGTAAGGACACATTCGTCCACATGAGGTCAGCACTGCACTGGGAGAAATACTGTATAAACTGCATTGTGGAATAAATGGAGGAAGTATCCAGGTCCTTTACTCATGTAAAAGTAGAAATACTGAAATATAAAAATACTCCATTACAAGTAAAAGTGTATATAAAAGTATGTATTATTAGCTAAAGGTACTTGTAATGCAAGAAAATGGCCCCTGAGAGTGTTTTACAATTAAATTATGAATGGGAATACTCAAGTAAAAATATCTTAACTCTGCACTTGAGTACAGTGTTTGAGTATAAATGTACTTTCAGAACGAAGCAGTAGACGTATAGCAGCATATTTTATTTAAACTCTGAACAGAAACATTGCACATTTGCCTTTTCATGCCTTAGGTTTCTTTCAGTTTAGCCCGCCGAAAATAAATCTAAAGAGTCAAAACTGGGAGAGTAAAGAAGAAATACAAGAAGCACGTTACATTGCAAAAAAGACAGGTAGAAGTTGGCCACATTTGGAGACCTAATAGAAAAATAGAACAGCAATATTCATAATTCACGTAACATGATGCAATAGAATTTAAATCATGCATTTCAGATGAGATAATGTGTTTACTGATGAAGTTCAAAATACGAGGTATTTGTTGGCTCACGTTTGCTACATCCTTAGCAAGTGGTTCAATTTAATACTGCATAAAACATGCAATTCAAAATGTTTCTGGTCGACTTCAATTCAGCTCTTCAACTAAAATACAGTAGAGCACACAGATCCATGCCACACAATGTGCACAGTCACGTTTTAAACTCCAATTAACGAAGCTACAACACAATTCATAAGGTATACCCCCACCCCCAAAAATAAATAATACTTAATATAATAATAATAATAATAATATCTAAATAATAGCTTGTGACTACATTGGCACTTCAGTACTACAAGTTCCAGTGTCTCAGTCTTCATTTGGAGATTATAACTGTTTCAGTAGCATTTGTGAGCCTCGAGAAAAGGCCAGAAAAAACATTTTAGGAAAAGCACTTCCTGGTTAAAGTTAGATGAGAGGACACCATTCTCAGATTTCTCCTTTAAAGCTCGAGTGCAGGAACCAAACAAGTTCCTGTGTCAGAAAGTAACTCATTACTAGTGATAATAGTACAGTTACTAAGCTAAGCTAACCGTTAGCTGGCTGTAGCTTTATTAAACAAACATATTTGTGGTGTTCTCTCATCTAAGTGTGTTTCATAAAATGTCAACTATTCTTTTAAACGTAGCTTAGTGGGGAGTTTATGGTAAACGTTGTCGGTGTTTAATCAGTAAATGAGAGGCCTTTTTCTGCGGAAATTAATGTGATATTAGAACAACTTCATCAAGGCACATTGTGTGTGTTTGTGTGTGACGAGTGAGACCCTGCATTTTATAAAACTGGGCAAAATAGATATCTGTATGTTTATAATGTTAATGCTTTGTGGCTAACATGGGGTCAAGACATAACTGCAGTCATTGGTTTTTACAAATTATGGCAAAAATATGGAAACGTGGATTTCCGTACTATCTGAGAATCTCGGTGAGGAGGCCATGCATTTTTCATTAGGATCTTAAAACAAGGCACAGGAAGGGAGGGAGCGGAGCACTCAATTTGCATTGCAAGCACTGTCACAGGTCCTGCTGTTCCTGCACCCCTTTTTTTTACCTTCAGAAACTCTACAGCCACATTACAATCCAGAGCTTACAGGTTTTTAAACAGCACTTGTAAATAACCCAATAGCGTATGTACAGATTTACAAAAAATATTTCTGTTGCCCCGGACAAAATGCGAGCAACGAGGAGGTACCGAGAGCAAACCGAACCACAGCAGAGACTAACATTCCTCTCCACTATTCTTCATGCCGTGTTGTGCCAAAATCTGTGCAATGCCCAGAATAGTTAGTGTTAGCTCACTGGTTGACATGTTGACACAGTGGTTTGAGTTTCCCTTCTGACATGGTGTCATCAGCTGATTTGTAGCTGCTCCGACAAGCTTGCCAAACACAGCTCTGTCAGCCTTCAGCACGGGAAGACTGAAGGGAGCAGAAAAACCTCTATGATAGCGCCGCACTCAAGTCTAAAGCTCATCTCTAGTAGCAAAAGCGAAGAGGAGCAGAGCCCAAGAACCTCTGCATGCACTGCACTGCCTCTGTTGCAGGCTGCATTTAAGAGGAAATAAGCCAATCAGCTCGGAGGTGGCTTCTGAAGCTAACTAACAGGTTTGGATGTGGTGCCATCAGCGTCGCCACTGCAGCAGGGTGTGCTGCCGGTTTTGGCCACAGTGCAGCCACTTGTTTCTGTGCTGTCGCCACTGCAGGGGCTCGCCGGCGCAGAGACGCTCTGGCCACGTTGTCTCTTCTTGTTCAGTTCCTCCCATTTGGCCCTGTTAGCTTTGATCATGTCAAGCATCGGTTGCAGTTTGGGATTCAACTTGACCAGAGTCTAGAGAGGGAGAGAGAGAGAGAGA